CTGGTCCAGTCCTCCTACGCAGTGCAGAAATGGATACTTAGCATAAATGTTTGGACGTGAGTTTCAGGCCAGGGCCGCAGCAGCACCAGCAGTAGACACACAATCCTCCCACTCTGAAGTATCCAAACCAAGGTCAAGACTCCTTTACCACCACCTAATTACACATTTTGTCTGTGGAATTCTTACATTCTGATCTGCATCCATGCACATGACCTGTACATGAGGCCTCTCTTTATGGTTAGACGTTCCATATAGAAAGATCAGGAGACAATGTTTTTACTGTTTTTGTTTCGCCGTATGTTTTTTTTTTTGTCGCTTTCATGCAGTAGTTTAGCTTACATATACTGTTCTTCAAATAACTTAACTCTAACCTTTTTTTAAGGTATGTCCTATAACAACGGTTCACTGATATTATCGGCCCGATATTAGCATAATTATTATCTGTAAGAAACATTATTGGTTTTTCCTGTGGTAATGAAAATTCGATAATGCAATACCCGAGTTTTCTCAAAAATGTTGGAATCACTTGTATGGCACTGAGACGTTTACCTCAGTTTTGGGGGCAATCGGCTGCATGTATCGGTATAGATTGATATCGGAATTGGAAATGTATGTTTTTGGACATTAGATTGGATATTGGATATCAGCAAAAAGTTAATATCAGACACCCCTACTATTTCAATTTATTAAACTGTTGCTGAATTCTGCAAATCGGGGGTCTGAAATCCATGATCTGAGACCCGCTGCTGCAACAGTCATGTCAAAAGATGGCCACATCATTGTTTGATTTTCAGAAAAACTATATTAGCAAACAAATACAAAACCTGTATAATACAAAAGTGAAGGAATTACCAACTCAGTGATTCAATGAAAGAACAAATACAAGAATATAAATATAACTGAATAGTTGTGGGCCAGATGTTGGGGGTTTGTGGGCCAGAAGTGGCCCCCAGGCCAGGAGTTTGAAACCTGCTTTAAACCACTGCGGGACAGTAATCCGCAATACTTTATCCAACCAGGAGTCAAAACTTAAAAAAGAGACAGTCAGTCCTCTCTATTTGTGGTTTCGGGTGTCCATGATCAACTGTCCTCACGGGCTTCAACATTTTACTCACATGTGGTGTTGTATGTAATTTGTGGCTCTTTGAGATTTTCTCATAGGACAGTGTGTGTGTTTGGTACATTTCCATGCAGCTCTGGTTTGATGGTGTGTGTGTTCCTTTTAATCAGTCAAGGAGCAGAGTGCAGTTTTTAACCTAGAATCGGAGTTTCAGAGCCTTGCTTTGATTTATATGCTGGTCGTTGGTCAGGGGAAGTCAAGCTGTTGTTTGGAAGCATTGGAAACAAAAGGACAAAAGTACAAAACACCCGCTGCTAAAACTTCAGTCCTCTACAAACAAATGTGTTTGCGGTGCGCGGTAATAGTCGGCCGCACTCAGAGAGGAAAAGTCTTGACTAAACAATTGCTAAACTTTTTGCACGACTAATAAATGTATCCTTTAGTGCCGAACTTTCATCCAGGAAATTGTTGCAATGTGTGATATGTGCTTCAGACTCAATGTCAACAGTCGCCTTCACATAAGACAAACAACTCGAGTCGCACTTTCGAGACCTGAAATCGTGCGCCGTTCTTAAAGGCTTTTGTTTCGGCTCTGGAACTCTTTTTTTTCTTTTGTGTTAGAGCTGGTTTAGGGAGGAGAACACTGGCGGTGCAGGGTTTTAGTGGGGTAACAGATCCCTGCCAAGAAATGAGTTCACTGAACCACTGTTTTCCCCAAAGGAGATGCGATAAGGTTTCTGCCCGAGGCTCGTCCGAGCACTTGACTAATAGATGAGAGAGAGAAAAAAAAGAAAGAGGCAGGATGAGGAGGGGTATTAACAAATGAAGGAGCCAGCTTTATTGACTGAGACGGCAGATTGGAGAAGAAACTAAACAGTGAACCATGATAGCCTCGGAGATCACATACTGTATCTTGTGTCTTGGGGGAGAAAAGGGGGGTCTCATAAGGATTTTAAGGCTGAATTTTGCATGCATTCTTTACTTTCTTTATCCGAATGTTATAGACAATGAGCGGTACAGAGGAGAAAAGAGGCCAAAATATTTGGTCTGAATGAGAAAGAAGTAAAACAGTGAACACCCACACTAATGCAGGGTCAGGTTGAGGACTGGAGTTATTATAATGCATATTTCTGTCAGCTTTTTCTACATTCATATTTATTAACCGTTATTCACCACTTCCTACAAACCTGTCTGCCCAGAGTCTGAAAAATGATTTTTTTGAACAGACCAGATGTTTTTATGCATTGACAAAATGACCATTGCTTTACTTCTGGGGGGATGAAGCCATAGGGAATTACGTAGATTTCAAAGAAATTAAAAAGGCGGTTCCCTGGGTGGAAAAAAAAAGTCAGTAAGAACCAAGTCCTGCTCTGCCCTGCCCCTAGTGGGCGCCAGTGATGTACTTCCTCCAGGAATCAAACCCAGGACCACCTGCTTCCGAGGCAGGCGTGCTTACCGCTACTCTAAGAAACCACTGAAGAGCAAAGCCTTTTATTATATAGAGATGCAGATGCAGATTATTTTTTTAGGCTTGTACTACTGCAAAAATAGATTTAGATAAGCTCAAGATCAGTGGCGCTTTGGCCCAGAGGCATTGGTGTGGAACCCCAGGGTTCACCTCCTGGGCAAGATCGAATCCCGGTTAGGGTGGTCGGTACCTTCCAGTGGACTCACCACCTGCAGGGGGGTTGGTAGGAAGTTCAAGATCATACTCATAAAATGTCAAGTTGAATGCATTAATTATATTGTTGTCCTTGGCGTTTCTGTCGTTGTCCGATACAATTTTTGAAATGATGACAGTGGACGGTACAGTGACACAAACTCCTTTGGCTTTAAAGGCTAACGTCATACTGTATTTGCGCATCAGAAATGGATGCTAACCGCACTGCAGTTGGATAACCTGATTGGGGTAGATGTAACAAATGTACCACTCTCACCACTCTTACCACTTAGAGGTTCATTACAGTTGTAAGGTTTCTCCCCTTTAGGCACAGCACACTTTTGGAAAAAGAATCATCTCTGCCATCAGTTAAAAAAATCAGAGATGAAACCAAAAGGGACTTTCCTGAAAAACCCAGCATTACTAGTTCCCACTGCATTCCCCTGAACTGATGTAAGGAACGGTTTGAACTGGTTCTGTTGATGGGTTTATTCAGATTGTCGTGATGATGATTAGGCCTGGTCCTAAATTATGACTAATCTTGATTAATCGAGATAAATAAACATTCTTAAATATGACGGAAAAACGTTCTGCATAATCCTGGGATGGAAAAGTAACCGCATGTAAATGTTTGTTTTTTTATTTGTGACTAATCCAAATAATGGAATTAATATGGAGAAAGTCATAATTAGCATAGAGTCATGAAAGAAAGCGAGCGGGAGAGAGGGGGAGGAGAGAGAGAGCTAGGTAGAGTACGAGGAGCAGGAAGTAGTGGAAAAGTTTCGATCACACTGTTCCTGACCACTGTTAATTCTTCAACGGACCAATCGTTTCTCTGTGTTCCGATGTCTATTTACAGGTCCAGCCTTTTAATTGACAAATATATTTCTCAATGGTTCTCGCCCCTTTATTGATTCTACAGAGGAATTCAGCACTATTTGGACTGTGTCCATGCTATTTTTTTATGGCAGATCCATTCACATCCATTTCATTTTATTATATTTCGTCAACTTCTTATATTGTTTTGGTTTAATTTCCGTCTTTGAAAAAAAGGCCATTATTAAAAATATGTCGAAAAAATGCGACAGTAAGTGCTTAATAGTGGAATTATTGGACATGGAGTGCATATCATTCTGTACTTGCGTTAAAATGCGCTAAAATGCTATTATGGGATTTTTTTACGAGTTTTGCTCTTTCTTACCATAAAAATATAAAAAATAAAAAAACTGAGGGACACTTTCTGTAGCATATTTTACCACAAAATATTTTTTTTCAAAGTAACGTTTCAGTTCGGTTGCAGTCATTACTGTTAGGAGTATGTGTTGGGTTTCTTAAACCAACACCAAAGTTGGCTACAGACTTGTTTTCACTGTCATGTTGTACCTCTAATTACCGTCGTTTCCTGCCGACGTACATTCTTTCTTAACACTCCTCTATTTCACTTTTTGCATTAAATGGTAAAAATGTCGTTGCAAAGTGATTCTCCATTGATTTGAGTCAACACTCTTGTGTTGTTGATGTTATAAATGTTTTTCTTCAGTATGTGTCGACACTTTAACACATTAACATACTGTGAGCCGGGAAACAGAAAACCTTTGTAAATCAGATAACACAAGCTTCTGAATTTTTGCATTCTTGTGTGAGTATTTAAAAATTTGTGCTGCAATAATCTGATGAATAATAGACACTTAAATCATGGAAAACAATTTCCTTGAGTAATCAGAATTGATTGAAGTTCCTTATTTGTCCCTCAAAGGGTAAATTTAGTGTGAGTCTGTGCAACCCAAACAGGCTGCCACATGAGGCGCTATTACGTGTATGGTTTCTCTGGGGCTCGAACCTAGCACCTTCTGTGGGTAAAGCAAACATGTAAGGCATTATATTTTATTCACAAGAGCAGTAGTGATTGGTCTTCCGTAGTGTGGTAACAAAAAAATACATAGAGTATGAATTATATAGCTAGCTATCTAGCTAGACAAATAGCACTTTAGCAATATTAGCTGATTAGCTAGCATGTTAGCCTCTTAAATAGCTTTTTAACTTGCTTCTAATCTAGCTAGCAATTCTTCTCTTACTTAACTATGTGTTTCTCGATTATATAACCTCTTATAACTAGACAGTCAAACAAATTGATTCAAGCTTCAACAATGAATTGTTTCTAGAATTTTCCAATGGTCAAAGAAATTGAGAGTTGATGCACACATACAGGAGTGTGGGTAAATTTTAGTTTTCGTCTTTTTTCTAAACTAACCAGGCAAAAATTGTCCACTTCCTCCCCAGCCTCCAAACAACGGCCCGCCTCCCCTGCCCAGCTCATCTCTACCCGAAGGCTACTATGAAGAGGCAGTTCCTTTAAGCCCAGGAAAGGCACCTGAGTACATCACCTCCAGTGAGTGAAGTTAACTGCCATGTTTTTGCCATGTTTGGTCATTTCAACGCAAATATATAACGAGAGTTTATGTGTTTGCCTCCCGTCAGACTATGATTCTGATGCAATGAGCAGCTCCTACGAGTCATATGACGAGGAGGAAGAGGATGGGAAGGGCCAGAAGATGCATCACCAGTGGCCTTCTGAGGAAGCCTCCATGGATTTGGTGAAGGATGCTCGCATTTGCGCGTTTCTGCTGCGCAAGAAACGCTTCGGCCAGTGGACCAAACTGCTGTGTGTCATCAAAGATAACAAACTTTTGGTAAATAAGAGGCACTTGTGTTTCTGGTCCAAATCCATAAGGTTTCACTTTTGTACAGGAAATTAAGGATGGCTCGGTATTGTGCCGATATTGGTCAAAATTTCAGGATCGAACATTGAAAAAAAACGACTATAGCCCATTTGATGAGATACTTAAGCCCAAATGCTAAACTTTACTTTGTGCGTCAAGCTATAAACAGGGACATTATTGCCTCAGCAGCAGCAGCAGCAGCCTGCTAGAGGAGAAAAAAGGATATGGAATTGATATTGGTATCGGCAAATAATGCAAATTGTGCGATATCGGTATCGGACATGAAAAAGTTACACTGAGCCATCCCCGCAAGAAATGGAGAGATATGAAAACCTAAGTCTTTTACAGTACATCAATACTGACTGTTTCAGTACATCATCAAACTGCAGTCCAAAAAATAATTGCGCTGTCATTTAAAGGCACCTTTTCTCTTCCGCAGTGTTACAAGTCCTCCAAAGACCACACCCCGCAGATGGAGCTAAACCTGTCCGGCTGCAGCATCAGTCACATCCCTAAGGATGGAAAGAAAAAGAAGCACGAGTTAAAGATAGTCCACCAGGGGGCAGACGCCCTGGTGTTGGCTGTGCAGAGCAAAGAACAGGCCGAGGAATGGCTCAAGGTAAAAGCAGTAAGCTGTCTTGTGTCTGGTTTCTTGACTTGTCTAGATTTGATGCCAGTGGCAGGCGTCACAGTCGAAGTCGGTGTTTATGTTTGGGATATTGGTTTAAAAGCAGGGGTCAGTTGGTCTGACTTTAGGTTTCGTTTTGATGCGTCCTATTAAGTAGACAAATTAAACAAACCTTGTGCAACTTCCTTTTCTCGGAAAAGGGTGTAGTTCTTGGATGAGAATAACTTTCTTAGCCTTTGTTTCTCGGGACGAAGCCTCTTCCTGACTTTGTGCGACCATCAGGGTTGTTATGAAAAGGTGTTCCTTCCACCTCTGTTCTGTTGTCAACATGGATGCTTTGTATTTCTTCCTTTGAAGAAAAAGATGGATTCCCTTTCATTTTTGGAGAATCAGTCTCCGTCACCCCCTGCATCGTCTTCCGTTCTCACTCTCTGATCTCTTCTTGTCTCTGGCTGCTCCACACGTCTGCACAACAAACCCACCCTGCGGCCTTTGAAGGGGCCGTGACCCTTTTTTTTCCTCTTTTAACGCTGCATGTGTCTGTTTGTTGTCAGTGGAGATAAAAACAGGATTCATCTGGTTTTTGGATTTAAAAGATCCCCCCACTCACTTGCACTCACACACACATCCTTCGTCCTCCTTACCTCTCCTGAGAACCTATTGGAATTCCTTGTTTGTTCTGCACTCTGGATTGCGTGCTATTTTAAGGTTCCTTCTTGCCTTTTGTGCTTTTGCCAACCCCAGTCCTGTTTGCTGCAGGTTTCCCAGCAGGCATAGGGGGGGTTTATACAGTATCTTATTTGAATTGGCTTAGCATAACTTCACAGGTTTTGCTCTAGGTCTTTGCTGATCGAGTTCATGTTTATGTCTTTCAGGACCCGTGTTCTGCCTCTTGATTCAATTAGCCTTCTTTTTGCACTAATCAGTCATTGTTTATTGATTGTCCCTGGAAGGTATCTGCAGGAGTGTGCAACAAGAGCCATGAAAATATACAAATGTTGAACCGCCCAAACCGTGGCGATGACTGCACTAATTATTGCCCGGAGAGGAACTTGGTGCGGAAACATACCTAGGAAGGTGCTGGGAACATATTGAAGTAATAACGCAGGGGACAGTCAGTGAAGTGAAGTGATTCAGTTTGCCTGATCAATGCACACGGACTTGGTCGTATTGCTGCACTCAGCAATCATCCAGTGTTCTTGGCTGGGGCTCCTCAAACACACCCTCTTTTGGGAAACAGCTCGGGGCTTATAAAGTCAGTGTGCTGTATCATTGGCAGCCTTCTTCACTCTCTGCTGTTTCTTAGTGTGTGTAACAGATGACTCTGCCTGTGTGTGTTTGTGTTGCTACAACAATATGTGTTTTATGCGAATGTTCGGATTTAGGTGCAATTTCTTTCTGAACATAAGTGACCTCGCTTTAAACAATATATTCTTAAAACAAGACTAAATATATGTACCTGAGGCCATATAACATCTAACCTGTCACTGTCATTTTCATATATACTGTATATATTTAAAAAAAAAAAAGTCTTTTCATTTGACATTATAAAGATAGAACGACACTGTATAAGGCAAACTGGCAAATTTGGCGACTGCAATTGTATCCAAGTGAAGGGATTGACGTGAGTACAGCAGGGGTCACCAACTTTTTTGAAACTGAGAGCTACTTCAAGGGCACTTAGTGATACAAAGAGCTACTTGTTTGATACGGACTTCCCCAACAATGTAGTAAAAGTTACAATGTGGTAAAAGTTACAGTATTTTTCTAAAATAAAAAATAGTTTTGTTAAATATAAACACCGTATAATATAACAGTGCAAAGACAAGTAAATACACATATTTACAAATATAAATATTTTCTTAAAAGACCAACTATTACATTTAAATGAATGAACAAATTAAATACATTCTGCCGGTTCTCAAATGGCAAAATTTAATTCTAAATGTCATATAGTTGCAGGACGGATGTGAAGGATTAGGGAGGCCTAAAGTGATCATTATTATGTCGAACTTTTCTGCTAATATCACAGACAACACACTGTACTGGACAGTGACCTAGTTAGAATGTTGTTTATTGATTAAACAAAATTCACAGAAACTACATTTTTAAGTCAAGTCAAGTTGTGTTACAGTCGAGTCTGGAGAAAAGTTTGGAAGGCAGTGGTCAGTAGTGGCACACAACCACTGGGCAGTCACATCATTTTTCATTACGTCCACTTTTCTTAAACGCTAATGTGGCCACAGTCGTAAAACTTGCATAAATGCTATTGTAAAATCTAATATTAGGATTGTCGATCATGGTACTGTTACACCCCACCCTTGTTTAAAAAACCGAGCAAGCGGTCTGCCCTTGTGACCTGCCGTGAAGCCGCTTGAAACTTCGACCAACGGTAGCTTTAGGACGACAAAGGAAGAAAAGAGAAATGAGAAAATGAGGAAAAAAAGGGAATAAACACAAGCACAAGACGAGATGATTGGAAGACCCCAAAACCTTTGTATTTGAATATCCTGCGATTATGTGGAATGATTTTCCCAGACATTCTGTCCTAACGATGTGCTCATGAAACCCAACTCCATTGTCTGTCTCTGCATCGTTCTCCGAAAAGCCTTTTATTTGCTTGCGTTTCTCTTTCTTTGTTCCTTTCTCTTTTCTTTTTCTTGATCCGACCTGATTTATTTTTGCACCCACGGATCAGTCCTCGGGTATTTCTTGCATTGTTCTACAAAACCACTGCCAATTTTTCAATAGCCATTCGCCCACCTCAAGAAAGGCAAGTAGTATTTAAGTATTTTACTGCGACCTGGCTCCTGTTGGACTGCAATGGCTGTAATTAAATGATCATTTCCAAAATTTACACCCGGCTCCTTGGAGGCAGACCTGACACTGGAATCTGAAACCATAAAATTTGTTTGGCACATTTTTACTGATTTACTCATCAAGTTGGGAAATCTTTTTTTTTTACAAAATCATATTCTGTCTTGTTTGTTTGTAAAGCAATTTGTGTAAAGCAAATCACAGATGGACGTTTGATAATATGAGAGTCCTCAACTAAGAGTTTCATTCCTACGGTGTGATGTAACTTGATTTTTGACATAAATCACAAATCACCTATGCTAACACAGTGGTTACATCATAATCTAGGACATAAAAAAAAATCAGAAGAGTCCAAGTTGGGAGCCAGGACATAAAAAAAAATCAGAAGAGTCCGACTCGGGAGCTGTAATAAATGGCGTAATGTTCCCCAAAAAAAACCAACACAAACGAAAGAAAGCGAATGTAGCACAATCCAATGTATGATGTACAACTGGCGAATGTAAAAAAAACTCGTCTTACGCATATATCGCCGGTCTGCTCACAAACTAGTTCCCATGCTAACTAGTTGGCTAGTTTAAATGCCATATGTCGGAATGCTAGAACAAGACTTTCACAATACATTTATGGGAGATCGTAACGTTATGATGGAACAAGACTTTCACAATAAATTTATGGGAGATGGTAACGTTAAAAAAATGAAACGCACTGTCAATAATAGTGCAGGGTGTCATGTAAAACAAGATATTTTACAAGTGCGAGTATTTTAATTTGTGTGCTTGCCAATACTATCACCAATACTTTGGGTTTCCAAAAGTCAGTGTTGTACAGGTAGCAGAAGGATATTGTAAGTATGGGTTCACTTGACGGGCACATGTTTTCAAAGTACAAGTTTGAGTATTTGAATAAACTATTGGGCCACAGTCTGCTCTCGGGTATAGTTTAGATAGCTGAGTGTACAAAGACTTTAAGCTAATTTTGTGGCACAAAAATGTGAAATGCGTGTCCTGGCCCGTGAATATGTAGAACCACTAAAAACTCCTTAGCCGCCTGAACGATGCAGCAGCGACATACCTATTGCCAACTTGTTCCTCATCATTGAAGACCGCACGCTCCCTTCGCAGACTTGTTCTGTATAATCTACCTAATGCCCAAGTCTGCTCTCCAGTCAAAGGTACACACGACGATGCCGTCTGTCTCGCTCCACGGCCTCGCAGTCGCTCTCTCAGCCAAACCCTTAGAACCACAGCCTGTCATTTTCCCCGCGAAAACCCAATTATGCTTTCCGAGAGCCAAAACCAATGAGCTGAGGAGCGCTCCACAGCCAAAGACGGTCCTGAACGCTTGTGGAAACGGTGGAGGGGAAAATGCATGCGTGTGCGTACACACACACACACACACACACGTGTGTCAAAGTGTATTATCTGACGTGCAGACTCGGTGGTTGATCTGAATTCTCGTTTCCCTCTGATCCCACCACCCCCTTCACGTCTGCAGCTGCCAGGCCTGAAGTCCAATGAGGTCAGGGTAATGCTCACTGGCGCCCTGGTTCACAGCCCTGCAGATCTCATTCACCACCTCTGGCCCTCGTTACATAATAACTCAGTGGACATAGTAAAAAGCCTGCGGTGTCTAATCTGTGTAACAGACTCCCCCCGTCCTTCCTGCGTCTCGGCGCGCACTCATATTTTCTCTCCACCACCTCCTGTTAGTCGTACACTCACTAATCAGTCCAATTGCCTCACACTATCTGTTTAGTTGCATGATGGAACATAAGACAGGAGGCAGTTCTGTATACACGTGGCCTGCGTTACCCACAGCACGCCGCGTACGCCCAGGGAATGAGCTGCATAATTATGTAGCAATGTTGTGAGGAAATCTTTGAGCGTTTTTAAATCAGGGCTCCACCCATGTTGTAGGGTTCCCATGGTGGGGATCTCATCTCACACCTTCATTTGTAGACAGTGTTGTTTAGCAAAAGGCATGGGCAAACTAAGGCCCGGGGACCGGATGCGGTCCACCAAATTACATAATTTATTTATATTGTTATTATGCCAATTCCCTGCAATACCCAGGTTTCCCCAATAGATGGTGTAGAAAATGATCAAAGCTTTTTAGCCTTTATGAATGACTTTTACATGTCATTTATCTTAGGTCACCCAACGCTCCATCTATCTGCTCCTGACCCGGCCCCACCCCTTGTTCAATTTTAGGACCAATTGTGGCCCGCGGGTCAAAAAGTTTGCCCACGCCTGCTTTAGCATAACATAAAGCAGCCGTGTCTCTAATGCTACTGCCTGTCTCTTCATGTCTTTTCAGGTGATGCGAGAGGTTTGTTTAAATGGAAGCGTGGATTTGGACGGTAGATCGGGGTCACCTGTGCTCAAACCTGAGCTGGAAAAGGTAACCAGATCGTTACTATTTACTTGTGATGCGAGTTCCCATAATAAGTAGCACTGGTGAATGCTTCCAATATGTATTTTCTGAATGTGTCATCATTTTCTTTAAGCTCTATTAATAATCAAATCTGTCATTGATGCTTTGTGAAAAGATTTATGTTCATTAGGGTTAATTTGAAATGAATGATCATGAAGTTCAAAATCGGTGATTTACAGTTTAATGTGCTCTATTAGCTTGCGCTTGGATTCCTTTAAAAGGTCATGACCTTTGGTCCTGTGCAGTTTCTTTTATACTCTGCTGATGCCTTTATGACAACCTTGTTCAATACTGTAGCACAGAGGTGTCACACTCAGAACACAGAACAGTCTAGTACCGACAGCGATTTTAAGCAGGAAAAAAAAAGAAAGCGAAGAGACTGCAGCAGACTTTTTCCTTATTTAAATAAATAAAAAGTGAAATTTGAAAAACAAAATATCAAGCAAAATATAAATATTATTACACATAAAATTTAGTATATGTTTTTTTAAATCTGTGGTTAAAAATTACAGAAGTTAAATTGTGAGTTACCCACCAAGCTTATGTTACACACACAGAGTTTGACTGTTGCATTTAACCAGGTAGGCTGCATTAAATAATGTAATGCGCCAAATTTGGTCCTCAGGCCTTGAGTTGAGACCCATGCTGTAGTACATTTAATTCGAGGTAGAGCTGCAGCCAGACATGGTCTTTGGTCCAATTTAAAGAGGTAGCTTTATCAGAACACTCACATCAGACTCTTTAAATTACAAAAAAAAACGTGCACTGTAAAATGTACTAAGATGAACCAAAACATACCGTAAATTGCATAATAACATTGCATAATCCCAACACTATTTGGTAATTGGTTCAAATCTAAAAAGATTATTCATCATTTTATTTGTCTTCTGTGGGCCAAGGACAAGGATTTGTAACTAGACCTCCATTTCATGAGGGCCTCATTCCTTGGCACAGTTAATTCTAATGAAGAAACTGCAGTTGCTATTCTAAAAGGAGGGACATTGTCTTCGTGTTTTTATTGGGAAATGCAGGTATAAGGACTTAATGCAGACGATTTACTGCACCCAGTATTTATAGGGCGAGTGTACGACTGTGTTTAGTGGAGGAAAATGAAGCAGATCAGAGGCAGATCTTTTAATGATAAACTGCACAGCGCACACAGCCCGAGCCGGAATTAATCATCAGTAACATGTACCAGATGCTCTCAAGCTTTTAGTCATTTACAGTACAATTATACAGATGTGTTTATGTAGCAGTTCCTTGGTGTCCTTTGCTGTTTTGTTCCCTGTGACTCCCATTCTTCATGAAACTGATATTTCCTCCTCCAGAGGGCTTCATCTGACAGGCCGAGTTCAGACGGAGAAGTGGCCCATGAGAATGGACACGGCGACCCTAAGGACCAAGGTGAGAATCTTAAAAAAATCATCAGCTCTTTGCTACTGTGTGTGTAGAGTTGCTTTATTTACTTTCAGTTTCGAGAGAGCGTTTCAACGTTAGGGAGAAACACAGAATCGCTTGACTAGGAAAATCCCTTTCTGCCTCATTTTCGAGGAAAAGAGAATGAAACCATAGCGATGGAACATCACAGCACAACAAGGGGAGACGCCAGTGTATCGACCGCACGTAATGACAGACAAGTCACAAGTGAAGGAGAGTAAAGTGGGAAAAAGTTACAGGGGGGTTCCCGCACTGCTTCACGGCACTTTTGTTCCATATAAACTGTGAGAAGCTCTAGTAATAACATTTTATTATTGGACTCCACTAACCAGTCTTTTTAATATCAGTATTGTCTGTGGGTGCACAGCATGGATTTATTCCACCAATGCCGATAATTATCTGGTACTCATGGCCGCCATTTGTTCTTGTGAAGTCATCACTCTAGCTTCACCCACTACATCCTTTCCATGGCAGATCAACTTTCCCTTTGCCTCATCTCCTAATGGAAAATGTTCAGCCTCTACCTTCACCCTTTATTATGCATGATTTAGTCGTACACGCCAACTGTCACCGTGATCCCCAACCGGTGTGCCGTAAGAGACAACTGTCACCGTGATCCCCAACCGGTGCGCCGTAAGAGGTGTGTCATGAGGTGTACCCTGAACTATGTCCAATTCATATTTTTTTAAATATTATTTCATAACTGCAAATCAGTTTTCTTCAGTCATCTATGCGAGCGTGACAGGCAGTGCAATACAACAGCTTACCACTAGGTGGCAACATATGTTTATTAGGGATGGCGCAGTACAACATTTTCGTGTTCGATATCAATCCGATACCTCCTTTTTCTACCAGCATGCTGCGGGCTACTGTGGCTCAGGCGATAGTGTCCATGTTTACACCATGTCGTGTAAAGTTACGTTGAGTATTTGGGCTTAGGTATCGGAACGATTGACCGATACTGGACTGATACCGATCATGAGTATCAGATAGAGCCAATGTCTTGCCTTCGAAAGCAGATAGCAGAGAGTCCTGGGTTCGATTCCCAGAGGAAGTACATGCTTGACGCCCAACAGGGGGCAGCATGTTGCAGCAGATCTGCTGTTAACGCAATAATTTCCCAAATATGGGATATTAATATTATTAATTATTACTATTATTATTCTGTTGCAGCAGACCTGCTGTTAATGCAATATTTTTTTTTAGTTATTACTATTATCATTGCTAATATCTATAAAAACTAAACTGAGGATCTTTATGTGCGTGTTTCTTCAATTCCTGCATGTATATCAGCGTTGTCTTCACCCAAACAGGCACAGGTTTCACACTTGAAACCAGAGAATTAATATATTCAATTCCTGCATGTATATCAGCGTTGTGTTCACACAAACAGGCACTACTTATTCACATGTACTTGTACAGTACTGACAGTTCTGATTGGCGTTTGGTTTTTCTCAGGACATTCTAAGAAGACATTGAGATAGTACTTGTCTGTAATGCGGAGTCTAGCACTAGTTCATAGAAGTTTTTTCTCGTCACGTTAAGAACAAGACTTAAAAACACAACAGTAGCAGAAGCTAATGAGGAATGAAACCAACTTCATCCACACTTAGACATTCTCCCTATACTGTAGTATTGCAGGTAAGCAGTGCCTATACGCAGTATATTACTGCTTGTGAATCTGTCTCGGTCCAGACACTGTTTCAGTCGTCTCAGCATGACGACATCAGTGGAGAGGAATGTACATTACATCAAGTTCTGCTGCAGGATTTTTCTATTCTTTGGTCTTCTTTTTCCTTTCTTCATAAATACGCCACAGACCACTGTATCTAAGCCAACGGAGCATAGCAGATTCTATTTTCTTGTGTTCAACTGACAGCGAGGTTAAACAACTTGGACATAACCTCTTAGCACCTGGCTCACTCCGTTGCAGCTGTGCTCCCATCAAACACTGCGCTGTCATCTGTCTGTCTCGCTCCATTTGGTTAGAAAATAGGCCAACTGATAGGCATGCTGGGATTTCAGGCTGCGTTGATCCACCAACAAAGCTTTTGAACCCAGAAGTGTCTGATTGAATCCAGTCAGAGTGATTGGAAACTCATGGTTGTTTACATTAGGATCTACAGTCAGTCGCTCTTGGTCTCATTACAGCATCACAGAAGCATCTAAATGGAACTGAGTCAAAGACTAACGTCCTCTCTCATTTTCTCTGTTTGGATAATGACGGTGGGGAACTTTAGGTTTGCATGAGTATGTAAAAAAAAAAAAAAGGTGCTTTAGTTGTTTAATTGTGAGTCATTGATTTGATTTGTTGATTTTGTTTATGTGTTTCAGGCAAAGGGAAGAAGAACTCCAAGTCAGAGCACAAGACAGGGACGGTAGGAAAGGGCGCCGGGAAGAAAATCACCAAGATCATCGGGTTGGGCAAGAAGAAGCCGTCCACAGATGAGCAGACATCGTCAGCAGAGGAAGATGTGCCCACTTGTGGTAAAAACCTAATCTACCTTAACTACTTCTCGGCAGAAAAGGCATTATTATCAGGTTTATGAAATGTTTAATTAAGGAGACGTGCTTTTTCATGCATTCAGGTTTATGAAATGTTTAATTAAGGAAATGTGCTTTTTTTATGCATTTTCATAAAATAGTACTTTTCCCGCAATACCCGCATTTCTCCAATAGATGGCATAGAAAAGGCTAAAATAATTTCAACTATTATGCATGACTTGCATGTCATTTATCTTGGTTCACATTTATTTGCTTCTCACCCGGCCCCCCTGTCAAATATTTGGACCCATTGCGGCCCGCGGGTCAACAGTTTGTCCACGCCTGATATAGACTCTGAGAGTAACTTGCTTTTTAATTTAAAAGTACACAAATTCTAAATGCCCTAGCCTTGGCAAATAGCTTTTACGATTTTTTGAGAAGATCCTATAACTAAGCCCAAATGTTCAACTTACCTTTGTGCGATTGGACTAATATCGGCATTAGCCGATGCTCCAAGTTGCACTATCGCTATTGAAAGAAGTTGTATCAAGCCATCGCTACTACCGACCAAAGACGTAACGGCTGTCAACTTGTGCAATTGTTCATCACTCGACAGGCTACCTGAACGTGTTGTCCAACAACCGCTGGCGGGAGCGCTGGTGCCGTCTCAAGGACAACCAGCTGCTGCTACACAAAGACCGGGATGACCTGAAGTGCCACATCGCCTCTCTGCCACTGCGAGGCTGCGAGGTCAGCCCTGGGCTGGACCACAAACACCCCTTCGCATTCCGCCTGCTTCGTAACAGTCAAGAAGTGGCGGTGCTGGAGGTACGACTTTCCTTTCTTCTTTCCTGCGTCTGCTCAAGCACATTCTAGAGAAACTGGCCCCAGCAGACACTTCTTTGTTGGGTTTTCTCCTCAAGTTTTTCTTCTTTTCCTCTCTTGTGGTCAAACTCACGTCCTCCACCCTCCAGTGACCTCATCCTGTGCATAGGGCATGCAAATGTGAGCGTGAAGGGAGACAATGAAAACCAGATTTTTGCCGTTTAACAAACAAAAAAAAAGTCAGCGTCACCTTGAGATAACTTTTTCCAAGGAATCATTGCCTTTGCTTCAGCCTGCTTTTAACCCCCCCCCCCCCTCCTTTCAACATGATAACATCTGGCCATTGAGATGAATGTGCAATATGTATTTTATGAATTTGATTATTGAGCTTTATGATCTGGATTCCTCTCCTCCAGGCCTCCTCCTCTGAGGAGTTGGGTCGCTGGCTGGGGGTTTTGTTGGCTGAAACTGGCTCCACCACTGACCCGGCCACTCTGCACTACGACTACATCGATGTGGAGACCACTGCCAACGTCATCCAGCTTGCCAAGCAGTCCTTCTGGTAAGTGGGACACAGAGATATAGTCTTTTTTCCCTTCATTTTTGCTCCCAAGCGTAAGTCAGACTCTTCTACATTACTGTGTTAGCATAGCTGAGCGTATTACTGTGCGGTATGTGAGTTCCAAAAACATGGCACCATAGAAACGGAGCTCCGACAGAAGTCGAGGACCTCCTGTGTAAACTTGTTAGTCTTCGTGTTTTTATTGAACGTTCCGAAGCCGTTAAGTCAATGTTTTTAAACTTCTTGAGTTATCTGATCTCGTGAGGCCATTCTCGCACCTGTTAAATTCAGCTTTTTAAATTTAAAAGTCTATTTTCTTTTTCTGGAGACTGAGGTTACTTGTCCGGGAAATAGTTAGAAAAGCATTTTACATTAGTTTGAGCTTTATTTATAAAAAATTATAGTGCTCTATAACAAGTATTTGGTACAATAATAAATTGAAATGTATCTGTATGAAATGTCTTTTTTGCACCTTTAGAATTTTTGGTTTAGATGGTTTAGATTTTTTGTCTTTAAAAAAAGAGTAGGCCTCAATTAAATTGGTTGACCTCTGACAATATTTGTTAATAATTAATGATTAATGATTTACTCATCAACCCATCCTTAATGGCTTCATACTGTTTCCTTAGCTTCACCAGTAAGCGTGCCGTGTCTCCAAACCCGTACCTGGATAACCCTGTGAACGGCTACGCCTGTCCCACTGGAACAGCTCTGCACTATGACGACGTTCCTATCAATGGACTGGTAAGGATACTGTAATTAATTCAAATCCTTATGCTTTTAGGGTATTTTAATGGCGGTGAAAGAGCTGTCATCAATCATCGCTGGATCATTAGCTATTTTTCTGTCTTGGGTGTAATCCCGAGTGCATACAGAGAGGAGATAAAAGACTGAAGGTTATTGATTTTGGATCATCTTTTTCAGCATTGAAAAGCCACTCTCACAGTAATGCATCTCTTAGGGATGCATGACTAGAGGGGTTAGCATCGGCGCTAGTGTGAACCAAACCCTTATACATTCAATGCTGTTTACTTTTAACATACTCCTTAATTGCTACTGTAACAAATACGAGTTAGATTGGTGTAGTGTTAGGATTCTGTAAGGTTGACTGAGATTAAGAGAGCTTTAATTAAATACATTGTTATAATCCCAACCAAGATTAAGAGAGCTTTAATTAAATACATAATCCCAACCCTGTTTGAGAGGTGGACTGTGGCGACCCCTGTTGAAGGGACAATCACAGACTCTCAAAGCATGATGCTGTTTTGTCATTTATGCATATTTATATTCATATATCGTGTATAAGTTAGGCCTGTCAAAATGAATGCTGATCAGGTTCATTAAATTGTAAAGATTAATTTTATTTTATTTTTTATTAATTTTTTTTTTTTTAGTGCATGGGTAAAATGTTTCTATATGAAATATAGAAATATATAATATATATATATTATAAATATATATAAATATATATTATATATTTATATAATAAATATATATTCTGTCAAGCTAAATTTTATTTACACTTCCATATTAATAATAATTAATTATAATCAATCAACGAATTAATCGTGATTGATTCTAGCCACAATTAATTGTGATTAATAAATAGCTACCCTGTGATTAGGGCAGATTAAAACCGTAAATGGCTTCAGTGTACCAGTATAAACCTAATATAATATAATACTGCAGTCACACTGGGGATGAATAACTGTACTTACACTTACTATGAATTGTAACTAACATAAAATACCTGCTGTTTCTCTACGTTGTTCTCTCCTTCTTTCTTTCCCTCTCTACTTCTGCTCTGCATGTGTCTTTGTCCAAATCAAGGAGCCCAAAGCTCAGTACTCCACTCCTAAAACAAAACAGCTAAAGGAGGACACGCACTATGAGAACGCTGAGCCCTATGAGAAGCCCTCTTCCAAGTTGACCTCCCGCTATCCTCCCAAGCCTTCCTCTTCTTCTGCTTCCTCTTCCTCTGCCTCTACTGGTCATTACAAAGCTCCTGTTTCTAAAGTCTCCTCTAAGTTTCTCTCTACTGACACAAAAACTAAAGACTCCCCTCAGGTGACTAACACACTAATGTTCCACTTCCTGTATCTTACGTTTGCACTTCCCTTTTTTTTTATGGGTATGACAGAAATTAATTGAGAACCACTGTGTCAATCAGTTGAAATGCTGCCAAATTCTGCTGCTCTCACTCCAGATTTAATTATACAGTTAAAATGATGGCATTCATTTTATCACTCAATTCATTTTTATATCAAACACAGAAATCTGTCTATTCCATGTAGCCCTTACCAAACGAAATTATTTGCAGGGTTTGTGTCTGTGTGTCTGTGTGTGGTAGTTCACAGTGTTCAACTTTATATTTACTACCCCTCTATAAGTATACCCCTCTCTCCCATGGCTCTCGTAGTCACCACATGCTGTTGTATGGAGCTCCGCCTCCTCTGTGGCCACAGCTTTGATGTGTTTTCCATGTGTGGCGTGTCCGAGGCATGTTAACAATCCCTCAGCGACCACAGAGTAAGACTCCGTAGTAGGTGGGGAGGTCTATGACAGACCATAATCACCAAGATAAAGCCTCGTCAGAGTCACCTCAGCTCCTTCACAAGCTCAGCAGATATGATTTAGTTTTATCTGTCATCCCGGGTCTGGCTTTGAGCTGTTCCTGCCCTCCCCCTCTTGCGGATTTTATTTATTTTCCTTTCTTGCATCTTGTTGTTGCATCCTTTTACCTACAAGCTAACTATTTTCTATTGGTAACCCCCCCCCCACTACAATTGCATCCAGAATTTACTCAACTTGTTTTAAAAAAAGAGTAAAGTCATCTTCTTTGCTGATGACGCCGCTGTGATACACTTAAAATCACAGGCGTATCACACATAGTATTACTCTTGTCACAAGTTATGTCAATTATGTTAATTGCATTTTTTAATTTTACTTTTTTAATGTAATACAATTACTATTTTTAACACATGTTGACGTGCACAGAGTGATGTGCACTGTTTAATCACGATTACTTACAATCACGGTTAATTGTGAATTATTGCAATTAATCCACAGCTACGGTGATTATTATATAATTAGATACAAAATCCTTATCGCTCTATCAATTATACGTAATTAAAAAATGTTGAAGTTTTAACTTGTACCATCATATTCTACCTAAAAATGTTAAGGTATAGAAACATTAAGGTGTAAAGTTTGCAGATGACTCTGTTGCTCACTCAGTGTCCAAACTCAAAGTGTTTTCATGAGTGAATAGATGAATGACCAAGTCTATAACTCTGTGGTCAAGTGTTTTATTTCATTTTTTTTTTATTTTTCCATCCCAGCTGAAAGGAAAGAAAGGTTCAGGGGCCAATGGAATGGCGTCGAAGCAGAAGGTGGAGCCAAAGAACCAGGCCAAGAAAAATGGGGTCAATGGAATGAACGGGACAGCCTCTTTAAAACGCAACAACTCCAGTAAGTAGGAAGTAGGAGTTCTATCTCCAGTGTGTCTTGAGAATGTGTTTAATACTCAAATGGAGGGAAGAAATGATTGATTTGGACTGTAAACATACCCGAGCTAAAAGTGTCAATTCTTTAAAAACCAAACCCTAAATGTGCTCAGCCGCCCTGACCTCCGGACTTTTTCCAATCAATTTCTGCTGGTGCCCAGAGTGAGAGTAGCAGACGCTGTGTCTGGTTTTCCTCCCAGTTCCAACCTCACCACCACTGATTGCTTTCTAGCTAAACTCTGCTCCACAGCTACTCGGAAAATGCAGGATCTTTTAAATTACAATTGGGTTAAACTGTGGCTAGGAAGTTAATAACTTGAAAACCTAAGACATCGTCCTCTTGTGACGTTTGGTTTGACCCACGTGGGCCTGACCCGAGCCTCTTCACTAGTGTTGCGAAAATAGATCCCATTTTTTGCAAGTAGGGGGCTTGGTAAACTGGTGCTAAGACATTGTTTTGGAGCTAATGTGTGAACCAGACGGTTTGATCCAGGTCGACTTTGGAATTCCCCAAAAATATACAGTTTATCAAGAGTCCAGTACTTGCAGGGTCAGTGGTGGTTTGATTAAGTGATTTCACATACGTCTTGCACAGAACAGGATGGGCGACATGTTGTCCAGTCAGTGACGGCCTCTTTTGGATGGAATAAATGAGTATTTGAGGTTGTGGCTGGAGATTAGCATCTCACCGATGTCCTAAATATAAGAAACACTGATCTCTGTCCTCTATATGATGTCATGGCCACTGCTGTGTAGGCAGATGCAGACACTCGGCTTTTCCTGCACAGTACTGCATTTTTTTTCAGCTATTGGCATCTAATAGGAGGCTTAGTAGAACTATTGTCCAGCCCTTCCTCCCTTATTTCTACAATAATGTTGAAACTGCCCTTCAGAAATGCTCACAGATCAGTGCAATTTCCTCAATGGGACACTGACAATGGTCCCTATAGGGGGACAGGTCCCTTATATTGGGAACCACTGGTTAAAGTCCATATTGTAACATGGGATATTTACTTAATTTTACTTAACTTTAATTAAATTTTTCACTTTTAATTAAATAAATGTTTAATTAAAACAGTGCCTATTACACAGTGCCTGTTACACAGCTGGTCACTTTGTCCTTGTTTACAGCAGAGGTAAACAGAAACAGTGAACAGTGGGGTCTTTATTATCAGCCACTCCGACCACAACAGAACATAAACAGAGTTTTAACAGCTCCTGTATAACCAACTCACTCTTCAACATGACAGGGATCAAACTGCGTGAAAAAAGTAGCGGCTAATAGTCCGGAAACTATGGTATTCAAAGAGTGACGTTTAATAATCTCACTGCATTTTCCAAAGATGTTTCTGCTGCTCTAGTGACGCTGAATCTTTCTGGTGCAGATGCAGAGCAGTGCAAGTACGGTAAGAACCGAGTGGAGGCCGATGCCAAGCGACTGCAGGCCAAGGAAGATGAGCTGATGAAGAAGAAGCAGGAGATCAGGAACCACCTGACCGTGCTGAAGAAGGAGAGGAGAGACCTTCGTACGGCCGTGGAGGCTGCAGCCGGTAATTACCCAGAATCCCTCACAGATGGAGCCCGATGGAACCTGCGATGTAAATACTGCGTCCATACTGAATGCTCTTTGTCCTTGCAGGCAAACGCTCACACTCCTCCCTGTCAGAGCGACTGAAGAAGGTGGAGGACGATTGTCGGCGGAAGGAGGAGGAGAGAGTAAACCTGGAGCTGGAGCTGACGGAAGTGAAGGAGAGCTTAAAGAAGGCCCTGAGCGGAGGAGTCACCCTCGGCCTCACCATTGAACCCAAAGCAGGCTCCTCTGGCCCCCAGGTTAAAGCCCCTGCTCCTGGATCGTCCCTCACGGTTTGTTTGTCTTGCTTCAATTCCTTTTACAGCATCACATCCGCCGAGCTTCACACCTAAATGTCTCCACCTTGTTGTTCACAGTCACCAGCCATGATGCGACGGACTCAGGAGTCCTCTCCGTTCTCCAGCTGCGACACCAGTGACACAGAGTCCTGCTCCCTGCCAGTCAACAGCGCCTCACTTCTCCGCCGCCAGCAGACTGCACAGAAGGGCTCCCCAATTCGAGGTCATGTCATGAGGAAAGCCAAGGTCAGTGACATGAAAAAAAACAAAACAAATTCAAATTAGTTTGCCCCTATGCGACTGAGCCATGCTCACCTTGGGGGACCCCCTGACTCCATTTTGGGAACCACTGTCCCTAAGTGGGAGTTTAGTTTTGCTATATGTGACCAGGTTACAGAGGCTTAAACCTTGAAACGCAGAGCTAAGCAAATTTGAGTCTGCGCCAAAGTCCATAGAGAAAAACAGCAATTTAACTTGACGCCATAAGAACAGTCAGTATAGCAATAAAATGGTAAATATAATGTTTGCAGCTCCTTTGATTTCACACAGTCCTTAACTCAATATTTATTTATATCATACAGTATTTATTTCAGATGTATTTTATTATGCAGTATTTAACTGATGCAGGCACATTTTATTGTGCATTAACATTTGAATTTGTGCATCAATTAATTAATTAATTGTGTATTAGTATTGTTTTTATGCATTATTAAATGTTACTATTATTTATTAGCTATATTATTTATTAATATCTTTGTACATTCCGTTATTATTGATACAGACAAAATTGTTGCGAATTAATGCCGTTTTATTATTTGTATTGCTAAGTTTTATTATAATTTTATATCATACTTTATTCCCTTAATGTAATGATTAATTGTGTATTAATGTGGTTCATTATCATTATTACAATAATAATAACTACCCTGTGACTAATAAATGTCTTCGGTGTGTTTTTCAGGAATGGGAGCAGAAGAGTGGCACATAAATCTTCCACTCAATCGCACCAGTCTCACTATCATTCCTTTTAGATTTTTTTTTTTCCCAAAGTATTGTCTATATATTTATTTAAATCTGTTCATTCAGAGCTTAGGGGAGGACACAGTCACAACATTCAGTCAGACCGAACAGCAGTGGCTGCTTCCTGCGTCACTCTGCAGCCTGTTTCATCTCCTACAGTAGTGAGTATGCTCAGTGTACCACGTTGTGTGACTCGTATCGTCTGTTGCACTTTTTTTGTTTTTAGGCAAAAAAAACCCCAATGCTTTCTCACTCTGAAGTATTTATTTGTAAATGTCTAAAGGAAATACTAGCTTCCCCTTGTTTATTTATGTGGATATATTTAATTTTTTTTCTTAATTAATAATGACTGAAAGATCGCTGGTTCATCAGTTTGGCCACCATCAACCAGAGGTCATGTTGGAGTTACCACACAATAGCTAGAACCTAAACGCTGTTCGAAGAAGCAGAGTGATGGGGCGTCAGTGAAGTCGTGTCAAGCACTGCTGAGTTGCATTGTTGCGTCCGTTATTTTTTTGTCAAAAGCAGCCAGTGATAACACAGAAATCAGATACGGTTATTGTTTCAAAACTTCACTAAACTGCTATATATATCTGTTATATATATACATATATATATATATACACACATATATGTATACATATATGTGTGTATATATATACACATATATACAGTATATACATATATATACATATACATACATATATACATATACATATATATACATATACATATATACAGTATATATGTATATATACACATATATACATATATATACATATATACACATATATACAGTATTTATATATATGTATATATACACATATACATACATATATACATACATATACATATATATATATATACATACACATACACATACGTATACATATATACACATATATATATACATACATATATACATATATATATACATACACATACACATACGTATACATATATACACATATATGTATGTATATGTGTATATATACATATATACTGTATATGTTTATATATGTATATACGTATATATACAGTATTTATATATGTATATACATGTATATACATATATACGTACATATATACATATACATATATACAGTATTTATATATATGTATATACGTATATATATATATACATACATACATATACATATATACAGTATTTATATATGTATATACAGTATATATATACTGTATATGTACAGTATATGTATATATATGTATATATACACATATATACATATACATATATATATATATAGCAGTTTAGTGAAGTTTTGAAACAATAACCGTGTTATTGTTTCAAAACTTCACTAAACTGCTATATATATATATATACAGTATTTATATATGTATATACATGTGTATATATATATGTATATATATGTATATATATACAGTATTTATATATATGTATATACAGTATATACATATATACACATATATACATATATATAAATACTGTATATATATACATATATATACATATATATATATATAGCAGTTTAGTGAAGTTTTGAAACAATAACACGGTTATTGTTTCAAAACTTCACTAAACTGCTATATATATATATATACACACACAGTAACAGTGGGACAAAAAGAAAAATGTACCTAGCTGCACATCGAGTAGCCCCCGCCCCCAGACTTTGGCAACAACAGTTGATTAAAACATTTTATGCAGTAATTATTTAACTACAGACTCCATTCACTTCGATGTTTCTAAATCTACGGCTTGCATGCCTAGCTTGGCAAACCCCAGTCTCACTAGTGAAGTCTCACTTTAAAAAAAAAAAAAAAAAACATTTTACACAAGAATCTAAGAACAAATGGTTAATCTGGAAAGACTATTCATTTACACTATAGCCTAAAGAACACAGGCTAAATACTGTACGTTAGCCTAACAGGCTAACATTTATTTATCTACTCAGCCCAGGATTTGTACTTTTAAAAGCACTTTATTTGTGCTTTTTCTTTGCAACTTTAATTTTAAATCTTAGGTGTTTACACACTATTTGTGCTTCTGAAACGGCTGCTTACCGTAGACGATAGACGATCTAAACCAGGGGTGTTAAACATAAAGCCCGAAGACCAAAACCGGGCCATTTGGGGGTTCAATCTGGCCCGCTTGATGAATTCTGAAAGTAAAAAAACACATTAGTTATTATATTATAGTTCATTAAATATAAATATCTTTTAATTTACATGTACTTATTTGCAGGACAACAAGGGGGGAATACATGGACTTAATGTTATATAAAGGAAATTAAACATGTGGCCCCTGAACCATGAGGTGAACACTCCTCGTCTAGTGTGAGTAGGTGCTCCTTGGTCTTTGAATTGGACATTTTAACCCTTCGCCCTGATGTAGTGGTGGCCATTACTGTATTCCATCAGCAGTAATCACATACTGTACTCTCTCTCTCTCTCTGTATAAGAGTCACTGAGGCACATTCCACATTTTCATCAATACACTGACTCATTCAGGACACTTGCTGTACACGCTTCTTTGCTGTATTGTTAATAAAGACTGTGATGCGTTCATACACACTCCCAACACTTGACAACGGTGCTTAACGAAATAAGACAACAAGCTTCACTGCCTACAGTACACATCAGTTCCATGTAAATACCACCATATCATCTATGTTCGTCTCTCAAGTCAAGGGGCCAACTGATCTCTGACTTTGTAGATAACCTGTGTTTTGTTTTGTTTTTTGTCTCTCCTGTCCCCTGCACGTTAGGATTAAAGCTTGTCGTCGCTGATCTTTCGCTCGTCAGCTTGTAACTGCTGTACATACAGGTAGCTTTGCTTTTTGGGAGATGGTTTTTGTTTTGCACCTTACCCGATTTCTACTCTTTTGTATATCTCGACAGTCTCCACCTTGGTGACAGATACACTTGTACATAAAAAAAATAAACAGTTCATACTGAGTTGGTGCTTTTTGTGTTTGTTCCCCTGTGACTGGCTGCTAAAAAACAACATTGTTTTATACACTAAAGCACATTTTGTTTATGACCCTTTAAAATTGCATTCCCTCACGTGTGTTTTTTTCTTTTTTTTACTGCAGCCACTCAGGAGCCACATAAAGCCTTTATTTAGGTGTGAAAAATAATAATAAAAAAAGATTGACTATGAATAAGTGCGTTGTAGGGTTATGGAATAACATAACAGTGCACGCTCTCTGACTATGCATATATAACAGATTAATGCAATCTGAAATCTTTTTATCCTAATCCTAATATCATCCAGTATTTAGGCCAACGCGTTGGATAAAGTTTTCCACAAGTGGGCTACTCTGTTTTTATTTTATTAGTATCGAGGGGCTAGAAACTAAAGCACATTTATTAGAACTTTCTCTGCTCTCCTTTCATCTTTTCACAAAATGACCACTAGGCGGCGACAAATTTAAACATCCCTCGGTTGATGTCAGTACAATTGATTAAAACAGACAGTTTCTTGGAAAGTTTGGCACAAAATGGAGCCATGAAACTGCTGTGTTCCTATGAATGCTAACCCCAGCTTACAAGGACAACTGAGAAGAGAGAAGATTAACAAATTCCTGGCAGGTCTGAGTAAACAGCAGTCCACTTTCACCCAGAGCCGAGAAGTCAGTGAAGCAGCGATAAAAGCCAGATATATAATAATTACAATTATAATTAGGTATAAGCCTACCTAATTGCTAGTGAAATAGAAAATAGAAATACAATTTTAATAGTCCAGCCCACTTGACATCTACCTAAGCCGTATGCGGCCCACGATGTGAAATGAGTTTGACACCCCTGGTCTACAGTGAAACAGAGAGAAATAGCGATGGGGAAGTCTTCCATGAGGAGGAAAGGTGAACTACAGGACATTAATAAATATTTACTTTTGAATAATTATTATTATTGAATATCTGTTGTCTAAAAAGATACATATCTGTTTAATTATTACCGGAAAAAATCTGACACCTATTATATAAAACGAAATGGAAAACCAACGGTCACTGAAATGTATGCACCAAAGTTCCATCTCCTCGTTAATGAATATGCTCTGCGTCAACTGAGCTGCAACACCGCTCTCTTGTGTTCAGATATGGCATGACACACTAAAACATGCTGCCAAGTCAATATTTTGTGCTAACAACTCCAAACATATTATAACCGAACATGTCAATATAATCACTAAAAACAAGCAAGACTATAGTCCTACTCTCACAAAAAATGCAAATAAATATAAACTCCCACAAATGCCTTAAAATGCAAGTTTATGACCCAAGACATGCTGCCAAGTCAATATTCTGTGCTAAAAATTTCAAAGATATCATATCTGTACGCCAAGTCAATATTCTGTGCTAAAAATTCCAAAGATATCATATCTGTACGTCAAAAGTATAAAGTGTATGTCAAAAGATCACCAAAAACAAGCAAGACTATAGTCCTACTCTCACAAAAAATTCAAAAAATGAAAAGATCCACAAATGCATCAGAATGCAAGTTTATGCCACAAAACATGCTGCCAGGTGAATAATTTGTGTTAAAACCCCCCAAAAATATTTTATCTGAATATTTCAAAATATCACCTAAACCATGCCTTACTCCTTGCTATCGTGAAATATCGCTAAAAATAAAAAGTCCC